ACTGTGATTTAATGGTGAAGAAGCCAATCCGCGTGGCGCTTAATTAGTTGTTAAAATATTCATCATAAATGTATCGTATCGATTAAATTATTTATTTGATATTTGAGACTTACCAAGGTATAGTCTGGGAACACTTTTGAAAGAAATTTCTGCACTCGTTAAACAAACGGTGTAAACGGTATTATAGATGCGTAAGTACCCACTTTCGTCGTTATTCGTGTTCGTTCTCGTACTCGTCTCTACTTCTTATCGAAAATTGCACTTGGTAAGGTTTTGGATATGTTCAGATTTGGGGTTGAAGCGTTTAAGTTGCTTCTTGGGCCTGAGTTTGAATTTTGTTTTAATCGATCTCTGTTATCTAGGTGCTACATGGTATGATGATGACGTTGACAGATGTTGCATTTGAATGAACTTTTGCATTTGAATTTGGATTCATTGGCCATACAGTTGTAGCATAATTGTTTACCTTTTATGGCATTGTTTCTGTCTTTGACATCTAGTGACTTGAAAGCTTCACATTAATATATTGTGTGGTCTTTGTTGCCATACCCACAAGTGTTATAACCATTATTTTTATAGCTCGTTTTTATTTCGGATTTTGGCATCTCTTGATTTTTGATGACTCTAGTGATTGAAATCTTCTTTCTAAGAATTCCATTACTGTGGCAAGGTCTGGAACTTCATGCGTCTTGGTTAAGTTTTGTTCAAAAAGTTTGTTGTAGGATCCCAATTCCTTATTATTTTTCTGGTTACAATGGGTCCCCAAGACATTGTTTCAATACCTATATTTTTGATGGCATTAAGGCATTCCATGGTAATGTCATTAAGTTGTTTAAGTTTTTCAACTGACTCATCGTGACAAACAGGCAAATCTAGTATTTTGTCTACTAATGTTGATACAAGCAATCTCTTATTTTCGTACCTTTTTTTCAATAGTACCCATGCTGATAGGTAATTGTCTTCAGTTATTTCTAGATGTTCTATAATTTTGCGGATATTTGTTTTTAGATATTGCATTTTCTCAATGGTTGTTAAGAAGCTGCTTTGGTGAATAACTTTTTGTAAAATGTCATGAAAGGAGAACCATTTATCGTAACGTCCATCAAACAATGGTAATTTAATTTTTGGGAGTTGTATATTTGGTTTATTATTTTCTCGGATATTTTGACGGTTTTTATTTGCTATTTGTTCTTCCAATAATTTCATGGTGTTACTAACCTTTATTTCAGTTTTCATAAATAAATCATTTTTGAAATATTCGTCTTGGTTGGTTGGTTGGTTGGTTCATAGATCATGATATTTTCATGTAATTTCTGAATACTTTCCCATAATCTATCAATGTTTGTTATAAGCCAACTCCTGGATGTCAGTTTAGCTTCTGATATTTCTTGATCAGATTGTTGGATGAGTCGATCTAATTGTTCTATTTTTATTAATTGCTTTTTTATTCTTATTTCTTATTCTTTGCTTTCCTGATTACATTCTAGAGGCGTTAATTGGTTTTGACTCTCGTTTGTGGCTTTTGGACACATTTTTAAGTACTGTTTGGCTTCATCATATTTTAATTTTAGTTGGTCGTAGTATATACATTTAAAATAATTATGGTTTGGGATGTCTAAATCTTTTAGTAATTCATGATTTTGTTGTACTGCTTGCCATAGTTCTTCTAGCTCACTAAGCCAATTTTCAATATATTCTTCCATTTTTCTTGACCTGGAATCCTTTTTTGAATTTGTTAATAGCTGTATTATTTGTTTGCCCAATTTTTCTTGTTTCTGGGATAATTTGTTAGATTCTTCCATTTTATTTAATTTTTTATACCGTAGACTTTCCTTGACAACACTGTATTCTTTTTTGTATAATTTTTCAAAATTTTCTAAACTTTTGCTCGGAGGCCCATGAATAGATTTCAAAGATAATTGTTGTAATTAATACCACAAGATGATTTTCTAGAATCTGTTTATTATCTCATTAACACCTACATTTATAATATCACAAACAATAACAATTACAATTATTTAATAATTTAAATACACATTCAAAACATATTATTCCAATTTCGACCTCGTTCAATGTTTTGCAAATAGTTTTTTTTTTTTTTTTGATTAAGTCAGCATTTTTATTATTATAATTTACACATCGAACTAGATACGAAATTGGAACGCTGTATGAAATTAAACATTTTTAATAAATAAAACAATTAATTTAATATACAGGATGTTGATTTTATTATGTTCAAATCTGAACAGAATAAAAAGGACAACAAATATAAAGTTAAACCACAGGCGGGATATAAGATTGAGGAATAGGTCGATGAAATGTATAATATTTAAAATAAGGCAAATTTGACGCAAATAATTTATTTGGATACACTTTAATACCATCAAAATACTTTTTAAGAATAAAATGAATTGAAGGAAAAATTTAAATATTAAACAGAATTGTGACGATCCACAATCGATGTCCACTTACAAATTTTACCACCCGTGTCCTACTCTTAAAATGTTAAAGTCCAAAAACTCTGGAATACGTCATTATTTCGTGGGCTGAGAACCAGAGGGTTCCAAGCGACATTTTTTTCAAAACACGTTTTATTGCAAGAAAATCAGATCCATAGAATCCTGCATCGTTTGCTGTACAAACGTTAAGCCTATTCCCGTAGATAGAGCCACTACATTATTTGTAAAATAGTTCTAAGCGGCAATGAACGTCATTTTTAAGAATCATAAGGTTCCAAGTGATTGTTTACTCTGTTGTTTATGTCATCAAGTTAAAAGTCTGTGCCAATTTCATGCTTCTTAGTGGCTTAAAAGCCGTGTAATATGTCAAATACTTCAGAAGAAGGGACCTTTGACGACTTTTTAAGCTCTGGATCTGAATATATGCCCGACTATGAAGTTAAAAAGAGGTTTGTTTGTTAAACGATGTATTTAAGAATTTTTAACCTCAATGTTTTTAGAAATTTACAATTATCAAACGAGAGCAGCTTCGACAGCGAAAATTTACACCATGAGAACTCTCTGTTATTTCTAAAATCAAAGGGTGTAGCCGCAGTCAGAAGGTAAAGTATTTTTCAATAAATAGAAATGTATGACAATTTAATGAAAACAATTTGCCTACCTTAAGTTTTTAAGTTAAAATTTTATCTTATTGCAGACTTTTTCCTGAAATTATGGAGCCCTCAAGCTCAGCAAATAAGAATGTTCAAAACTTAATACCAGAGGGTCATCGTTCAATAGTCAAGTAAGGAATATTGAAATTGGTACTGGCATATTTTGCTAATTCATTAACCTTTTTTGTAGAACTTATCAGAAAGACAATAATACTTATTGTGATGATAATCGTATTGTCAATTACACTGATTCTGAAACATTCGAATCATCATCAGATAAAACCCCAATGAAGGAGAAGGACACGTAAACGAAAGAGAAATATTAGCCTACGAAAAAGTAATCAAAGAAAAGAAAAGTACCAAAAGGGGCAAAGTTATATAAACAGCAAAGGAGAATTAAAACCTGCAAAAAAGATTGATGAAAGTAAATATTGCACTAAAAGCTGCAGATTTCAGTGCACAAAAAACTTTACAATGGAACTAAGGGAAGAAATAAAAAATAATTATTACTCTATGGATCAAAATAGTAAAAATTATTTTTTATTAAACAACACAAAAAGAATACTAATAAAAAGAAAAATAAGTAGTGTTACAAATTACCGGTCTTTTTCATTTGAGTATTTTTTTGAAAAAGAAAACAAAAAATTAAGAATATGTAAAAGTTTTTTTTGACCACCTTATGTGTTAGCCAAAAGCCAGTATATAATGTTCATTTGAAGAAATCTGACGCAGGTACACCTCAAAGTGATCAACGGGGGAAATATACCAAAGATCGTATTACAAAGGAAAGTAAAGACGAAATAAGACAACACATAGAGTCTTTTCCTCACGTGTAGTCTCATTACTGTAGATCCGACTCTAAAAAACAGTACCTTGATCCTTTATTAAACATTAACAAAATGTATGACTTATACATTGAATATTGTTTAGAAAAGCAAATTCGTCCACTAAGTGTTTCGTTGTACAGGCACATTTTTAACTATGAATATAATCTTGACTTTCTTAAACCAAAAAGTGACCGATGTGATTTTTGTGAAGAGTATAAAGTTGCCCAGCGGGAGAACAGAATGAGTGTAGAACTGGAATTGTTAAACAGGCAGCACATTTTAAAGAAAAACCTAATGAGAACAGAACGGGAACAAGATGGTAAAAATACAGATGTGAACTGTGCTGTCGTGTGTTTTGATTTACAAAATGTTATTAATGTACCAAAATCAGATGTTTCAGTCCTGTTTTATAAACAAAAAATGAATGTTTATAACTTAACTGCACATAATTCCACTGACAAGCAATATTATTGCGCTGTTTGGTCAGAAACTACATGCGGTAGATCTGGAAATGACTTGGCAAGTGCACTGATGCAAATTATTGAAAAAATTGTTATAAACAATCCCAACATACAGAAATAATAACCTGGAGCGACAGCTGTGTTCCTCAAAATAGGAACAGTTTTATCTCATTAGCTGTAGCCAATTTTTTACAGAGGTATCAAAATATCAAACATATAACAATGAAATATTCCTTACCCGGGCATTCCTGTATACAGGTTGTTGACAACATTAATTCCCGTATCGATAAATTTATGCGAGTACAAGATATATGGTCCCCACTTGCATTTGTAAAACTTCTGCTAAAGTCTGATAGAAAAAAGCTTTTCTGCGTTATTAACATGAAGCCCAAACATTTTTTTGATTATAAAAAAAGTACAGATAGTTTCAATTATGGTAATGTACCTTACAGCAAAGTCTGCCAATTAAAATTTTTGCAAGGTAGTCCTTTTGAGGTGCAATATAAAGTGGAAAATCATTCTTCACAATTTATTAAAACAAATGTAAAGAAAGAAGTAAAAAATAGAAAAGGTCGCAAAGAAAAACTTACATCTAAAGAACTAAATGGGATGGATGCAACCTTTAGTATTGAGCCTGTAAAAAATTTTAAAACTAAGAGTTTTACAAAAAGATTGAGTCAATAGAATTTGCTTATAAATGGATGCCACTCGAAGATAAAACTTACATGAAAGCCCTTATTTCAGAATTTAAAAATAAATAATTTTTTTTGGTTTACATTATATATTTTTTTTTATGTTCTGTTGTTGCCATTTAAACAATTATAGTTACCTATTTAAATAAAAGTTATTTTTTTTATTAATTGTATTTCAATTTCACAAATTTTTGTTAATAAATTATATTCATTTTCATTAAACTGTCGCTTGGAACCTTCTGGTTTTTTAAATTTAGCTTTTCTTAAGGTTCTAAGTACAGTCAAATTTTCAAACTTTAATGTATATTACTTATTTTTTTAATCTATATAAAATTACATAAGCACAAGTTACTTAGAAAATAAATTAATAATGACATAAAATTTTAAAAATCAGATAATTACTTCGTTTAATAAATTTTTACCAATGTCAAACATTAATATTGATTTTCTGAACAATTTTAGATTTGGCGCTTGGAACCCTCTGGTTCTCAGCCCACGATTTATTAATGATGAGTTGCTTATTCTAATTTTCAATTTCCTACCTTTAAAAAACCGATACTTTCTTACAAATTTTTACTCCCCATTTCTTAAAATACGAAAATCTTACTGAACCACAGTGTTTTCAAACGAACGCAGGATAGAAAAACGAAATCAAAACTAAAACAGTGCGCCACTGGATCCCTTCAGAAGCAGGCGTCTGCATGGTCCTCGAACTTATCCCTCGGTACTTAGCCTGTATTCTCCAGAGTGTACGTTCTGCGGACTCGGTCTACTCAAAGTTGATATATGAATTTAACGCTAATTCGATTAATAGTTATGTAGATTGCCTTCATCCAGCAACGACTGAACATTTTCCGTAATGGCTATTCTGACTGACTCAGGACAAATTCTCGGTGAATATCTATTGGATATTGCCTAGTCGACGGATTTCCATCACTCTGCGATAATGAATGCATACGTAAGCATTGTACAAATTTAAATGGAATTTTCTGACCCTTATGGAGACTGTACCCTAAAAATAAATATGACGATTGAAACTAATGGTCTGCTTATTAGGAAATATATTTTATATTTGATAATTTATAAGTTTTAATAAATAGCCCTATTACACGTTGTTCTTTTGAACAGCCGAACAACCACAGTGTTACATTCTCGGCACAGTTACTTAATTTTCAGCATGCTCGTTTTCATCTTGACTTACAGGCATCGCATCCTAATTTGTCAGTAGTGGGGTAAAGTTTGCGCACTGCTGACACACCTTCAAACGATCTTACTGGCTACTATTAAAGCTCAGTAGCGTATATAGTCCTTCCATTATCAATTGCAGAACACAGTTATGTGGGGAATCATCAATATTTAATATATACGCACGGTACTCATGCCAAATTAAGAAACCAAAAATAATGTTTACTCCCCTTATACAACGCGGTAAATATTAAACGAACCATCAGTTGTTTACCAATGAAAAGATCTAATCGTAAACTTAAATGCACTGTATTGGCCGAAGGTTTTCGGAAGGCAGGTGTTCGATAATATTCCTGGAAGACAGTCTGCGATATCAGTGGAGTACTGTCGTGCGGTGTGTTTTGTATGTGTGGTTGGTTTAATTTAAATTTCTTTTAATAAATATAAATATAGCGTTCTTTAGACCATGGGCGAATGAAGAAAATGAAATTGCATAGTGTAGTGAGATTAAAGACAGGTATGACTTTAACGATAAGGATTTAGATATACAAACACAACAAGTTTTTTAAATATATTCGAATGTTTAAAAAAGGAAAATATTCAGCAGTCTGATAATGCGTTCATAATAATAATTGCTGAATTAACTAAAGTAAATAAATTTTTCGTTTATCCGGTAGTCACGAAAGGGGTTGCTGTGGATTATTTATAAAACCGTAAAACATGTAAAGAAAAACTGAAATCAGTTGACAGAGCTACCCAAGATTTTATACCAAGGACAATTTATAGTTTATATAAGGAGAACAGGGTTCCGACATTAGAAGTAATACAGCAAAAGGTGGTAGATTTTCCAGGATACACTTATACCAGTTTGGAAACATTGCGTCAAGTTTTGTCAGCATGTGGTTTTAAACACAAAAAATTGAATAAATAGATGGCAATCACCGAATCGTCAAGGATAGTTCAATGGCGACAAGATTATTTGCGTCAGATAAAAGGCTACAGAAGTTCTAATAAAAACATAATTTATCTAGATGAAACATGGTTTGACAGTCACGATGTAATAAATTTCGGTTGGGTTGGCAGTAGTAAAAATTGCTGTTTGAATGGGCCATGTTCTAAAGGGAAACGCATTATAATAGTACACGCTGGAAGCAAAGATGGTTTCGTGCCTAACGCTTTATTATTATCTGCTAAACAAATTAAAAACTGTGCAGCTGATTATCATGAAGATATGACAGCAGAAATATTTGAAAAACGGTTTAATGAACAGCTTTTACCTTACATTCCACCATGTCAGTAATCGTTATGAACAACGCATCCTACCACTCGCGGCAACTCCTTAAAATACCAAATAGTAGCAGTAAAAAAGCTCAAATTTTAGCTTTTATGTCTGAAAAAAATATTCCTATTCCTGCCAGTGATAGTAAAAAAGGACCAACAAACAAAGAATTGCTTTCTGTTATTAAAGGTATAAAGTTAGAAAAAATGTATTATGTTGACAAGCTGTGCAAACTCTTCTCAGACTACCTCCTTACTATTGCCTATTTAACCCTATAGAGTTAATATTGGCAAACTTAAAATCAGAATTACGAAAATGTAATCAGTCTCCAGAACTGAGTAAAGAAGTTGTAGAACTCGTAAAGAAAGTTCTAGCAGCAGACCGCCAAGAGCTTTGGAAAAACTGTGTTTAACATGTTATCAAAGAAGAAGATAAGTATGTAGTATTACCCTCTTTACAACCCATCATAATTCAACCAAATGATGACTCTAGTTCAGAGGATTCAGACTGCCATGATTATTTATAAAGATACTTTAGAATTGAATTGTTTTTTTTTCTTTTGTTTTATTTGCAAAGAATTTATTTTCCTTTGTGGTTTTTTCTTTGAAATTTCGTTTTTCAGAAAAAGAACGAATGGGGTATAAAAAGGGTTCAGTTCACGTCTGGTACCCTGTTTAAACCAAACGCCCTTACAGGCAGGTACACTTTACTTGATTTTTTACGTTTTATAATTTAATATTCAGTTGTAGCAACAAGTTAACGAGCTATAATGATTTTTTTAAGTCCAAGTAAGATTACAATTAAGTGCATCTGTCTAAATAAGGGCGTATAATAACGTCCAATTTATAATTATTCGATTTACTTTTAACGAATACTTTCTTGCATATGATATATATTAAAAGTATTAATAAAATAAATTTATAAAATGAGGTAGGTATCTACGCCTATGGCAGATCAAACAAAATTGTCGGTAAAAGTTCCGAACGAGATTTTATGATCTGCAATTGATAATGAAAGAACATTACTACTTTCGCTTAAAATAAAATTTCTACGAATTTTAAAACGATCATGGTCAGATTAATCACAAAATTTTAAGAAAATTACCTAAAATTTTAATCCTTAATAACGGTCAAATCTAGTCGGCCCTCGTTTCTAAGAATGACTATCATTTGATGAAATTATAGGAAATACCAGATTACTTACACAATGGATCAAACGCAATTATGTAAATAGGTTTTTAAGTGCTCCAGAATTTGTTAAAATTTATTTGTTATCTATGAGATAAAAGGTATTCTGTTAAAAAAATTTATTGGGTGAAAAAAAAATGGTGATTTTGCACTTGATGTTGTAATATTTTAAAAAAATGTAAGGGTGATAGTAGAAGCGGTGAAAGTCATCAGCATACAAATATTAAAATAAGACAACGAGGATTTTTTTAAAAATATGTTATAGGTCAACAAATACTGAATTTATACTAACCTCTATTCCTTGTTGCTATAACTACTATTTTCTCTACTAATCTTTTTCTTGGCTTCGTGCTTGCACAAAATCAAAGCCAACACTTTTATGCTTCCGCACGTCTTGCTCTCCGCGAAGAACAGTGTTTTGTTGATGTCTCAGCAAAAGGCGAGAGCTGCGGTACGGCTTTTTGTAATAAGATATTATGACTTAATAATAATATTGTAATTTCTGGTAAGATATTTATTGATATTATTGCAGTACTATAACATGCACCCCTTCGAGAAGAGCGATAGGTGTTTTTTTTTCTTTAACTTTGTCCACTAATCGGAGTATATTTTATTAAGATTTATATGGACCCCCGGAAAAAGTATCTACACGTTCAAAATTTTTGAAAAAATGTGTGAATGTATTTACAACCTTAAGTATTATTTTACCAAAATTTGATCCGGTTTGTATCATTTGTTCTCAAGAAAAATCGGAAAATTTACTTTATTACAAGTATAAAACAAAGAAACTAAACTATCAAGAGAGATCATTATTTCCTAAAATAAATTAGTTTTGGTTAAGAAACTTACATACATTTTTTGAAAATTTTTGAACTTGCAGAAATGACGTAATTGAAGAATATATTTATTTTATTAACAAAAATTAGATTTAAACTATAAAAATGAATGTAATATTAAAGAATATACCTTCAATAATTATATTTAAAGACATTGACCTCAAAACATTAATAAGTTTTTTATAAATTTAGTGAAAAATTCAATTAAACAATAACACTATTTTGAATTTCCTCTTTCAAAGTCTTATCTCTGAGAGGTGCTGCTATCTCAATTAGTACTTTCTAAAATTGCTCACAGAGAGCACTAAATTTCCTACTCAAACAGAAATTTCAGATGTCCGCATACACCAACGCTACCGTGTTGCCAGATCGAGTTGTATTACTAAGTTCGCTGGATTAAATAAATATTTTTCTATTAATAATTCGGTCGATGCAAACGTACCTATTCATTTTAC